TCTGTTTATGACAAAAAACATCATTGCCACTTTGACTTTTCATCAAAAAATTGTAGAAAATAACTTTTTTAATATCAAAAGTTTTCGTAATTTGAGGCAAAGATCGTAATTTTTCTTTTTGAATACTTAAGGATTCCAATATGCTTCCAATAAAACATAGAACACGTTCAAAATAATACTTAATAACAAAGTTGAAATTCGATTTTCAACTGTTAATATATTCTAGAATATATCCAAAAAAAAAATTTCAATATTTTTTCTGGTACCTTCCAAGTGAGCCCCTATTACCCCTTAAAAGGCATGACGTCAATTTTGAATCACCCTGTATTTGGTGCTATCCTAGTCCAACATATGGTAAGGTGAACCATTCTAAAATTAAAATATGATGCCTCTTTGCAGTTTATAACATTATAATTCAAGGAAAAGTTCCAAACATCCCCCACACAAACAGACCTTGTATAGATGTCGCCCTAAATTATGTCGGACTATAAGCCACACCATAAAACTTTGCGAAGAAAGGGCATTCTATTACTCCCCTCTTATTGCAATTGGGGGAGTTATTCTCAAAGTTAACCTACCACAACACATTTCGTATTGTTTCGTAATAATCGATATGCTGTTTTACAATATGGCTCAAGCCCTTCTCTTCAGCTCCGATAGTCGAGCAATAAGGATCTATTTTATTGCAAGGACTTGAAATTCACTGAAAGCACTCTAAATCTACTGATGGAAATAATGCAAATACATTCCAATTAATTCTAGGATTTTTATTACATTGCAAAGGTAGTTAATATGTTTTACCTGGTGCTTGGGGTCAATAACTCGCTCAAGTTCAGTGATTCGTCCATCCATATTGTATTATCGCAAAGTAAACAAGCAATTATGAGTGTGCTTCTCTAAAATGAGCCGTGAGCCACTTTAAATCCGCCGTATAATAATAATCCTGACCGCCGAAATTGCTTTAAAGGGTTCGCCGCGCGTCTACAATAAAAATTTAATTAACACCGCTGAAGAAGCCGATGCCGCAATAACTTTGCGGATTTCGACCGATCGGCAACCGGGAGAAAATGAGACTGACTTGGATATTCACGGGATTTCAACAACTAAAGTTTTAGAAATAAATTTTAATTCGGAACTCATTAATCCTTAAATAAAATAAACCTGCTACCTACTTGTACCTCACGTATAATTGCATTCAAAAATTATATCTTTAATTGAATATTTTCGGACGCTAAAACATCTTAATTTCCGTGTATTAATTACCTTTTTTGTTGAATTTTGGTTGCTTTTTGAGCATTTCTGCGTAACTGTTACAATGAAAATGAAATTGAATACTTCATTTGGGACAATATATTTATAAACAGGTATGGTTATGAGAACAAGGAAAGAAAAAATTTTTCGTCGTCATTCCTCTGGAGGTGTTGTCTGGCGGTGTTATAGGAGTACAGAAAAACTAGTAAAATAAATTAATTGTTATTAGAAACTGAGAAATTTGCAAAAAACTCTATCAGAAATACGGCAGCAATGTTTTTCAAGGTAATCTGCCTAATTAACATTGCGCAAATACCTGTTGCTTC